TTACTCCCTCAGACCAAGCTCCTCTCAACCCTACAGCAAACACGGCGGATTGGAACATTTACTGTGAGGGAGCCAGCGGAAAACGCCTCGGTAAGGCCCTGCAGGGGGAGAAGGTGCCAAACCGCAAACCCGGAGTCCACAATTAAAAAATTCATTACCTCCTGCAACTGAAACGCGAGCGAAAACGCAGTCTAAGCTGTAGCTAAAACGTGATCGGTGCAAGAAATCAATTCGGTGCTACAAACACCATTAAGCCATATATATTTTTCAGGAATTTACTCAGCTGTAAGGAACAAAGGAAGGCAAAAGAATCAGTATGCATAAAGGTTGAAAGCATTTAAATGTTTGTTTCCTTTGAGAGTAACTGCTACCAAAAATATTGGCTGGCGGCATTTTGTTAACTGTGTTTAACTCATTAACATGCTTCCTATGGAATAATAGAGATTAGAAAAAAACCCCGTGTCAGGATTTAACCAATTTAAACTCTCATAATTTCCAGTAATGGAATAAGCTACACGAGTAAATCCTCTCCTGAGATGACTCCAGCACAAACATTTTAGGAACTAATCCCCGCTCCCGATGCTGCGGCCCTGGGGGGGGACCCACGAGGGCCGGGGCACAGGAAAGCCAAACCCAGCACGGAGACGCTGCCCTGGGCTGGGCCCTGAGCGTTCACACAGCGAGTGTGAGCTACACAGAGCTACACAGCGAGTAAAGCACAGGCGGCGCCGTTCACAACTCCCACCCCAGCCATCTGCTCGTTTGCTTTGCACGGGACCGAGGAGCCCGAAACACGGACGCTGCTGCCCCCCGTGCTGGGGCAGGGGCCCTTTCCAGCCCCGTTTCCAGGGACTGCCAGACCTCGGCTGCTGCTCCTCGCCCTGAGCCGCCACGGGAGCTCCTGTATTTGTGATGAGCTGTTTTCCAGCTACAATTCCTAATGGAAATCAAGAGCAATGTGCTGGAGCCTTGCTCTGTGGAGCAGGAGCCGCACAGGAAGCAATGAGGGCACCTGCACAGGACCATGGCATTCACCAGTCTGCACCAGGAAAGCTGTGACAAGGCCTGGACTAATCACTTGCCACTCATTAACCACTTCATTAACACGGCCAGGTCCTGCTCTGTACAACCTGCAGCTGTGACCACCTCAGATGGAGATCCAGGGCGTCTCGAGCAGCTCTTACCACCCGGCGCATCCTCGCAGCCCGAAATCCTCGGCGTGGAAGGAAACACCACACGGCTGCATTAGGGCATTTGCACCGGTGCATCCACTCCACCGGCAGCCAATTAGATCCAACAACCCCGAGCTATTTCCTAGTTTGCCTACTTCTAGCAGCTTAAAAACCCAGCCTGGTAATTTAATAAGGCGCCTTTATTAAGCTAAACTCATTCAAAAGCTAAGAGTGATACACAAGGTTAAATACCAGTAGTCTAAAGGTCGTGCTGCAGCAGCAACCAATTTGGAAAACTTATTACAAGCCCATTCTGCGCCTGATGAGATTCCCTTCACAACCGCGAGCGCGGGAACCGCTGCCTTCAGGGTACAGCACCCCACGGCCACCCGACCCCGCGCCGAAAACACCGCTCCCCCTTCCCGCCCAACGGCCTGCGCTGTGACTCCTCCGTCAATGGGGACGCTGGGGGACTCCCCAGGCTCTCCCCAGGACCGCTCCGGGTTTTGAAGTCACCGAAACGCCCAGGTTGTTCCCAATTGCTGCCTGTTCACCATCAGCAAACGTTAACGGCAGCGCCTTTTCCAGAGCCAGAGATCACAGAATCACGGGATCGCTCGGTTGGAAAAGACCTCTGAGATCATCATGTCCAACCGCTCCTGTCTACCCCCTAAACCATATCCCTAAGTACCTCGTCTACCCACTCTTTAAACACATCCAGGGATGGTGACTCCACCACCTCCCTGGGCAGCCTGTTCCAGCTTCTGACGACCCTCTCAGTAAAGAACTTCCTCCTTATCTCTAACCTGAACCTCCCTTGGCACAGCTTGGTGCCGTTTCCCCTTGTTCTATCCCCATCACCTGGGAGAAGAGCCCAGCACCCACCTCTCCACAACCTCCCTTGAGGCAGTTGTAGGTGGTGATGAGGTCTCCCCTCAGCCTTCTCTTCTCCAGGCTAAACAACCCCAGTTCCCTCAGCTGCTCCTCATAAGGCTTGCTCTGCAGACCCCTCACCATCCTTGTGGCTCTTCTCTGAACACGCTCCAGAATCTCAACATCCTTCTTAGAGTGAGGGGCCCAGAACTGAACACAGCACTCGAGGTGCGGCCTCACCAGTGCCGAGTACAGGGAGATGATTCACGGGAGCGCTGAGCAGCACCGGGCCAAGCACCCAGACCTCTGGACACACCACGGCTTGCTGGCTGCTCCCTAATGACCGCCCTTTGAGCTCCGCCAGCTACCGATTTCTTAATCCATTTAAACACATGCTCCATCGATAATGCTTAGATCTCATTAATCAGCCAAGATACCACGTTATACCCAGTCCGGTGCCTTGCAGAAGCCTAAGCCCCTTATTTCTGAGCCATTTCCTTCCCTCGGGCCGTCCCATGGCTGCAGATGAAGGCGAGCTCACCCTGTCAATGTGCATCGGGGTACGGCCACAGCCTGGGGACCCTGGGCTGCTCTGCACCCCGAGCCACGTTAAGTGCTTCGTTAAGAGCAGTAAATTCACCTTGGAGGTGGAATCCAGTGATCCCGCTGCGCACAGGAGCTGCTGGAAGCTGCCATGGGAAACCTGCATAGGAAGCTCGATGTGCGCATCCTCTGGGGCCGTGCCCATCACGGTGCTCCAGCCATCGCGGTGTGAGCAATGCAGCGCCTGCCATGCGGCCTCTGTCCCCTTCAGACACCAAACCTGTGCCCAAATCCAAAATCCAGCAGGTTTGGTTATCAGGGAACCACGTCTGTGCCAGAGACACCCGGACCCAGCAAGCCCCGATTTCCTCCTCACCTCCTGCAAGGACAAGAGCCTGCGCTGCCGATGTCCGGCCAAAATCCAGCAACTTGTTCAATAAATACACCTCGTGTCCTAAATGAGAACATCAACGGGCCACAGCTTGTCTGGGAGAGCTTCTGACCCGCGCACGGGGCGGCAAAACCTGCCCTCCACTCGAGGGATTGGAGGAAAACTGAGGCACAGGCAGACAAACACATGGGCAGAGGCTCCATGAAATATTGAAGCGCGTGTCGCTGCCGAACGCTTGCGAAGGGCAGAGCCCAGGCCACACGGCTGCTCCCCGCTCCCAGCAACGAGAAAACCTTATTAACGAGCTCGCAAACGAGCACCCAACTGGGAAATGTCACCAACGAGAGTGGCTAATGCCCCAGAAAATCAAATAACTGAACACTTGGCTGATTGTGGCGCTTTTCATATTTACTAAAAGGGGAAAAAAAGCTGCTTTAAATCAAAGTTTCTCGAGAGGTCAACACCTCGCTGCACAAAACAACTCATTTATTCCCTTTCAGAAATCTCCAGATGATAAATTACACTGGTGTTAATCACTTCACTGCATACTATGCAATTAATATTTGCGCTCGACAGAAACGTAAGGCGCGCTGGAGATGCGACAGCACACGTATTCTATAGATGTGGCTGCTTTTTAGCATAATTGGGTGCAAAACATTGCCCCAGCGCCACAGCAGAGGCTGGAACCGCTTCCATCGGGGCCTACGTTAAAAGTGCTCGTGTAGGCATCATAAAACCCAATGTGCAATTAACTATCACTTCAGGAAGGCAAAAATACCCCGACTGGGGGAAATGCCCAACCAGGACCTGGCCACTTGCAGTGCCAGCCTCACGAATCGAGGTCAGGAAAAGCCCCGCAAAGGCTGAGCCGAAACATCTCTGGGAAGATCTGGTTCCACTCAACCCCGTAATGAGATTTTAATGCGTTTTGTTGCCTCATTTCCTTCCTAACATCGCCCTCCCCGCTCCCGCACCCCTCGCTGTGGATCCCAGTCACGGCAGACCCCGCGCTCGCACCCTGTCCCCCCCAGAAGCGCTGGGGGGAGCCCCACCAAGCCATGGGGGAAACCTCAGCACCCAAAATCTGCAGCTCCCTGAGCTCCACCACGGAAAAGACACCCAAAGGAATGGTTTTAGAGCAGATCCAAGGGGGTCACTGCAGGCTTCAGCTTCTGCATCTCCCTTTCCCTTCTCGGCAGAGGAGAACACTGCAATAAATACACGTTTGGGTAACGCCTCCAAATAAGCACCAGCGCTGCAGGCTGCCAGCGACACTGAAGGTCCTCATTTACCAAAGGAAATCACCCTGCAAAGAGAAAAAGCTCCCCTATATTTTGAGGGGGAGCGAACGAACTCGGGGGGAAGCAGCGCCTTCCCTCCTCTTTGCCATCCACACCCCAGTGATTCCAAATATCCCCCCTCTTCACAAACGATGCCGTTCTCTGCTTTGTGTTTCCCTTTAAAAAACCCAGCTGACTCCTGAGGTGCATCTACAGAGAGATCTCTGGATTTTAGCCAGACAAAAAGTACCTCGTTCTCCGAGAAGGCGCCATCCATCATCCCCCCGTCCTTTCCCAGCACATTTCATGCTCGGGTTGGACACGTTAAGTGCAGAGAAACACAACGTTTGCGGAGAAAAACACCTCCCTGTGCCCTGCTGATGCTGCCACGGGGCGGATTCGCTGTTCCTGTGGTGGGAATGGGGAGCATTTATGGGGGGAGCCACGAGCAGGGACCTGGGTGAGCTCCACGCTCTGCTGCTGGTGCCCTCCTTGCTGGACTAACGTGGGTCTTTGTAAATACATACAGATATTTAAACATATGCAAACAAAATCACTTCTAATGGGTGCAGGGTTTCATTCAGACCCAAGCGCAAACCCCATGCAGCCCAGAAGCCCTTCTCTTGCTCACCCCCATCCCCTCCCAGGGGGGCTCTGAGCAGGAGCAGCCCCAGGGGATGCGATGCTGAGGACAGGACCCCATGCAGTGGGGGTACAGCAGCCCCCGTGTGTCAGGTAGTGATGGTGTGCAGCCTGTGGACATCCAAACATCTGCAAAACAACACACGGGGGACCCAAAACAGCTGCAAAGCAGAGCAGTCAGGAAGAGATCGACTTGAGGAGGAACGGAATAGACACTAATTTATTGCAGAAACAGCGGCCCCCCAAGCGATCCGGATTTCGGAGCCATTTCTGCAAGGAAGCCTGAAGCGAAGCCGCTGCCCTTTCCAAAAAGGAAGGAGCCCTGCCCGATTTCGGCACCTCCGCATGGCGGGGGAGGCGGCGTTTCTTCTTTTTGCCCGTGAAGTATTTGATCAAGCCTCACAAAGGTGCCAATGTATTATTAAAGCTAATGGAGCTCTACAAGAAATGTTAATGGACATTAAGTTTGCATAAATGAATTACGCATTAGCACAGTCGCAAGAAATCTCGTATCTGCCAATTTAGGTGGTATCTGATCATTTCTGTTTTCCTCATTACGGGAACACGACTTCCCGCTAGTTTCAGAGATAGGAGAATTGTAACCAAGATGTTCATAATGAAACTACATAATGAACCAGATGAAATAAATTAATACCAAACTTGCTCTTCCCCTTTCTGCATCCTCCCAGCACCCCCCTGGTGTGGGACGCCCCAGCCTTGCCGTGAGGGCTCTGATTTTGGGCCTGGGGGGCGATTTCTGGGCAGGGATGTGGGTACACGGCAGCTCCGTCGTCACCCCCAGCTGAAGGCGGGCACGGCCGCATTTGGGACCGGAGACGTTTTCAGGGCCTGCTCCCAAACCCTGTCCCCGTCACGCAGCAGAGCAGTCCCAAAGGAGGCGCAATGCATCGTTAACACTGAGCACGGCAGGAGCATTACAGGAAGAGGTTGGCCTTAATCCGGGTGTTAGTGCAGATGCCGCAGAACTCCTGCTGCTGGGATTTGGAGCAGCGGTCGGCGCGGCGCAGCCACAAGGCACAACACCGGGCTCTCCCGCGCTGCTCTGCTGCCGCCGGTGACTGCTGACGGTGCCCGGTCGCTTTGAAGTGGGAGCGCAGCAGCACTTTTCAAAGAGCTAAGCAGGCTGCTAGGAGGAAAATACTCAGATTGCATCTGCTCTGACAATTATAGAGCCCAGGCAGGAACCTTTGATGATACAAACTCCACGAACAGAAAGTCATTCCTTCAGAGCAGAGAAGTGTGTATTTATGGCACGGCAGAGGGCCGGGCAAAACCGTGGCTCACCCCGTGGAGCGGCACACAGCATTCTGATCTCCGCTTTTCGGCAACAGGACAGAGCCCCAGCCACACTGTGGCTTCCTGGGGCAGTGAGCAGCTCCCGAGCAGTTTCCTATGCATTGGAAATAGAAAGCCGTGTACTCACACATCACTTCCAGGTGCGCGGCTTCGGCCGGTCCCTGACGGCCGGGTGGTCCACCAGGCAGACGACCGGGACGCCGTCGTCCTCGCGGCCCACCTTCAGCAGCAGCCTGCTGGTCACCGTGAACATGTCCGACCACTGCTCCACCTCCGACCTCCCTGCGGGGACAGCACGGGACGGTGGTGACGGCAGGGACCAGCCCGGGCCGCGCGTCCCCTTCGGGCACCATCCCCGGGGCAGGGGTAACCACTGCTCTGTGGGGCTGCTGCCCATTAAAACCCAGGCTATGTTACCCAGGGATTAATTCCCCAGCACCCTCCCCAGATCCTCACACCCCTGAATCAGCACTCAGCCCAACAAGTGATGACAGATCAACGTGACGGGGCTCTGCTGAGGATGACGATGGCAGCGGTGGCCGCACCAAGGACTCAGGACTTGCAATGCATGGGAACGGGGGGACAGGACAAGACAGGAGAAAAAGGGCTTTTCTGTAACACTCTGGCCAACACCACACCTCAACCCGCTTCCACAGACTCTTATCTCAGCTTTTCATTTAAGAATTCGCAGCCAAAAGGTTAAGAGAAACTTCTGCAGCAGAGGTTTCAAACACAAAACACTTGTGTATAATAAATGGAAGTGAAACGGAGGAGAGCCGCAGAAAGCGACACCCCGTGATACTGAGAGGCTCTCTGATCCAAGATACCACAACCCGCAGCCAAGCACGGCCGTTCCTCCGCTTCTGTTTAAAAACAAATATCCAAGGAGTCAGCAGGGAGAGCTGCTCTGCAAGAGGCTGCTCCTCATCTCTGCAGCTCTGAGAGAAGGGGAAGCTGGGGGTTGATGCCAGCACGACAGAACTCAAGCACGGCTGCATCCCCCTTCGTGTGTCCTGCTTGCAGGCGCTGTGCTCAGAGGATTTGGGGCTGCCCTGAAGGGGGATGTGAGGCAGCGAGAGCCCTTCCGTGCCTGTGCATGGGGACGGGGGTGGTGTCTGTGGATGGGGACGGGGGTGGTGTCAGCCCCACTCCCATCCACACAGCCCTGAACCAGCAGTGCCCCACAGGCGATCACAGCCAGTGCTGTCAGCGTGGAAACACTGCAGAAGCCCAGCTCGTGTGAATATTCAACCAAACGCAGGAAAACACTTCACAAACACGAGAGCTGACGTGAAGGTGAGCTGCAAACCTTCACAGCGCAAGCGCAACGATGTTCCCCGTACCCAAAACGGGGCAGAAGGCTCCACAAACCACCGCAGAAATGAA